ATAGGCATTTTTTTTTTTTTTTTTGCTTTAAGAGCAATTTTTAAATTATTATTCTACTGTTTACTAAAAAATAAGAATATCAAATAAGAAAATAAGAAAATAAGTAAAGAAATGGTCGATATCAAATAGACTAACCAAGACTTATATAGTATTTTATGGGTCCGACCAGCTAGTATGTTATTATAGAATTGTCAACAGTATTGTGATAACTGTTTGCAGTAAATAACTGAGTTTTTCACAAGCCTCTGCAAGCTCCAACCTGCTACAGAAGTAAGATCAGATTCTTAGCAATCGAGAAAAAAAGAATTCAGTAAGACCGCTGCCTGTTCTAAACAATCAAGAAAAAAAGAATATTTGTCAAGACAGGGGTATAAAGTTGAGGGGTCAGCAAATAGAGCCACTTAAGGTGTATTGTTGTAGAAAACACCTAAAGTGTATTAGGTGTATTGTTGTAAGAAGATCATTAATGAAGAAAAGAAACAAAACAAAACCAAGGATGTTACCTTGAAGTACCCCACAAGTTACTGGAAATGAAAAAAAGTGTTGGCCTTCAAGTATGACTTTAATACTAAAGTAAAAAAGAAATGATTTAATAATTATTTAATAATCTTAAAATTTTTCCCAGCATTAAAAGCAAGCTTATAAAGAAGACCAGAATGCTTATTGAACCTTATTGAAAATTTAGTCTCCTTAGTCTCACCATCTCCATATAAAATACAAGATAAAATCTTTATTTAATCCATATAAAATACAAGATAAAATCTTTATTTAATCCATATAAAATACAAGATAAAATCTTTATTTAATCCATATAAAATACAAGATAAAACCTTTATTTAATCCATATAAAATACAAGATAAAATCTTTATTTAATCCATATAAAATACAAGATAAAATCTTTATTTAATCCATATAAAATACAAGATAAAATCTTTATTTAATCCATATAAAATACAAGATAAAATCTTTATTTAATCCATATAAAATACAAGATAAAATCTTTATTTAATCCATATAAAATACAAGATAAAATCTTTATTTAATCCATATAAAATACAACATAAAACCTTTATTTAATCCATATAAAATACAAGATAAAATCTTTATTTAATCCATATAAAATACAAGATAAAATCTTTATTTAATCCATATAAAATACAAGATAAAATCTTTATTTAATCCATATAAAATACAAGATAAAACCTTTATTTAATTCATATAAAATACAAGATAAAATCTTTATTTAATCCATATAAAATACAAGATAAAATCTTTATTTAATCCATATAAAATACAAGATAAAATCTTTATTTAATCCATATAAAATACAAGATAAAATCTTTATTTAATCCATATAAAATACAAGATAAAATCTTTATTTAATCCATATAAAATACAAGATAAAATCTTTATTTAATCCATATAAAATACAAGATAAAACCTTTATTTAATTCATATAAAATACAAGATAAAATCTTTATTTAATCCATATAAAATACAAGATAAAATCTTTATTTAATCCATATAAAATACAAGATAAAATCTTTATTTAATCCATATAAAATACAGAATAAAATCTTTACTTAATCCATATAAAAAACAAGATAAAACCGTAGAATAAAACAATTGAAAATCATATGGATTGTCAGAGAATTAGCATAGAAAATTATTAACATGTTACAAAACTTGTAATATTGTGTTATTGAAGAGAATATATTTATTATTTAGATAATATAGTCAATCTATTGAAAGAACTGAGTAATGAATTTCAAAAATCAAATTGAAAATGTTACAAAGAATAACTAAGTAGTCTTACTTGGAAATAACAAAAGAAAATATATATAATCATTCCATACAAAATTATCAAAAAAATATTTATCATCTTTTAAAAAAAAATATTTTGGTCATTCTTTACATTTTAATTGAATAAGTTTGGCTTTACAACACCAAATGAATTTAATGATTTCTTAATGGACACCAATGCTGTCCATTAAGAAATCATTAAATTCATCTAGCGGCAATGATTGTAACACTAGTGTCATACAGTCAATAGTCTGCCCATGCTTAAATGCTAAATTTTTTTATCGTTCATGGCCTGTGAACACTGACACTAAACACCGTTAAATGCTTGAAAATCAGAATATTACTTATACCTCTACATTTTTAAAATAACAAACATTTAAATAACAAACATTTATTTATTTGTTTTTAAATGCAACATGTTTTTTACTAATCTATCTTCATTAAAATAGATTAATAAAAAACATTTTGCGAATATGTTGGTTTTTCTTAAAAGTAAAAAAATCATCACATGCTTAAAAAATCAACACTTTATTAAAAGTTAATAAAACTAATTTCACTATTTCTGGTAAAATAGATTTTTAAATTTTTTTTCCTGGCAACAATAGAATTCTTTTCTCATTTTTAACTTGCTTTGAAGTTCAAACAAGATATTCAGACACTTTAAACTAAGTTGATATCTTTTTACATTTCTATGATTTTAGTGCATCTGTTAACATAAGTACCTAATGGCAATTAGTGTCAGTCACAGAAAAGCATTTAAAAGTATTTTTGATGCTATACATTAAATTTAATGTCTAAATCATGATCTTTGTTTATGTTATTGATTAAAATGGTGCAATTTATTAATTGCTACTTTAACACTGTATGCTAACAAAACCATTTTTGCAACTCTTTAGTTTTTTGTTGTTTTTTTTGTAACTTTTGCTACAGAATTTCTAGACTGGCCATATATATACATTATTTTCTTGCAAAAGCTTAGCCAACTCTAAGCAAATCTTTACATTTCCTAAAAAATAATTTCTAAGTTTTAAAAGTAACTGAAAGCTTAACAATTATCATAAATTTCGATATAAAAAAAATATATATATATATATATATATATATATATATATATATATATATATATATATATATATATATATTAGTTTTGTTGAAACTAAAATTAAATTTAGATTTCCTTTAACAGCAAGTTTTTTACTTATCTTTTTGTGTTCCAATAGGGTTGCAACACTTTGTAATTTTTCTTTCAAAATATTTTACTTAAAATTTCCATATTATTGCAGCTTATAATTAAACTATATATTTTTTTAAATTTACCATAATACTTCTATTTGCTGTTCACGAGGAAGATCGTTGAGTTGAATAAAACCTTGTTTTCAAGAAAATCTAGTTTCGTGGCAATAAACGATAAGAACTTTTCTCATATCGCACTTCTCCATATTCAATATTTATATAACCAGTTAAAAAAAATAAACAAAGTTCATAATCATACTTTTAAGAAAAATTTCAAATAAAAAACAAAGAATAATAAAAGAAAAGATTGCTCTCACATGCCAAACCCTCAGTTAATGTAGCAGCACCTATCTAACTATTTTATGGCAGCAGACTATAAGATAGTCTGCTGCCATAAAATAAATGAATTTGAAAATGAATTCAAATGCAACATAACTATTTGAAAACTTTAAAACTCAAACAAAACATTTTTAAAATTAAAAAATAATTTGTTTTTCATTATGTTTCTGAATTGCATTTTAGAAATAATTTTTCATTAAAAATTTTTTTTTATGTTAAAGGAGCCCCAAGCTTCTCCTTTACATACAATTATATATGTCCTAGTCAATAAATAAAATAATTTTGATATTTTATATTAAAAAAAGTTTTAAATATTTTAATCTTTTTTAATTTTGACAAAATTTAAGTTATATCAATACTGAAATCAAATTTATTAGGGTTTTAAATTTTAAAAATAGTCTCGAAACCATTATCAAGATGTGACAATTAACAAGACATCAATTTTTTTTTGCCTCTACAAATTATCACTAAAATGTTGCATTAGCATTGTTTCAAATGACAATATCTCAAAAACCAATTTATATTCTTACGCAAAACATTAAGCTATCATTTATTTAATATGGACTACAAATGATATAAAATTTAAACAATACTGTGGCGTATAATTGAACTTGTCTAGATAATTTCATATCAAATGATATGAAATCATAATTTGATATGAAATCATCTAGAAATCATTTGATGTGAAATCATCAAATGATTTCACATCAAATATTTACTATAATCAAATAATTATTTGAAAATTATTGTTACTGAGAAATTAAATTATTTTAAAACTTCATTTTTACTAAGTAAAAGGAAAAAAAATTATTGAACTTTATAAAAATCATAAAATATTTTCTTGTTACAAGATAAATAAGTTTAATATTATAACTATTACTAATGATACTAATAATAATTACTAATAATAGTTATATTATAACTATTAACAATGGATTAACACATCACTGAGATCATAACACATCACTGAGATCATAACACACCATTGAGATTTATTATTCTGAAAAAAGTTGTTAAAATATAGATTTTATAATTGTCATTAGCCCCATGATTAAAATATAAATAATTACTAAAAAATTATTATAAAATATATTATAAATTTATGATATTTTATACTTTATATTTATGCTATAAATATATTTACATTTACTTTTATTTTACATGTTTGATTATAAATACATAGTTGTAATAACATGATATATACATGGTTCTAATAACCAGGGGTTCTAATAACCAGGTTCTAATAACTAGGGGGGTGGAGTCATAAAAAATATGAAAAGTCCTTTAAAGATTAAATATTTAGTACATGCACATGAAATGAGTTTTACTAATGGAGTTGGAGAGCGATTCCGACTCCAGCTGGTCTTTAAAATAACTAAAAATGTTGCAAATCCGACTCCACGACTCCTACACCACAGCCCTGGAAATAACAAGCTAAAATTTTTTTTACTAAATAACAACAAAACAAAAAGTATTTTAATGGTAAATAATTTTTCTTTAAATTAAATATTAAATATGATTAATTTCTAAGTAACTGTAATTAAAAACATAAAATATTCTAAATAACAGTTTAATTTCAAAATTTTTACTTTACTAATCAGAAATAAAAAAGTAAAACAATAACCCAGGTGGAATGTGTCCTGTAATTATAACTTTTTTGTTTTTCAATTGAGCCTCTTTCAACTGAGTAATCAACCAACTCATTTGAATGTTTCCAATGTTAACAACATCACGATTATTTTCATATGCTTTTGTTATCCAATAGTTTGTGTTTAAAACTAGAAGTATTATGGAGGCTTCTAAATTTTAAAAAACTTTTGTAATTATGGAAAACTAATCAAAATTGTTTAAAATTTTCAACTTTTTAGTTGACTTCAAAAGCAAACTTTACTAGAAAAGGTTTGACAAAAATTTGTCAAAATTACAAATTTAGTATTTTAGGAAACATATAAATTTCAATTTTGAAGTCAAAAAAAGAAAAGTTTGACTAAATGAAACAATATATTGTTAGAAATACATTTAAAAATAAAGAAAAGTAAGCAGAGATACAAATTTAAAATATTTAGATCTTTAAAAGAAAATACCTTTTATATAAACTTTATAAAATCCACCGATATAAAATGTTTCTCTGAAATGACTTATTGCATTATTATTAACAACATCAGTACTTATAAACATAAATGATTCCATTATCTCAGCATAATTTTTATAAAAACTATCATTTACTTTAACAGGAGGCTGATAATCATAGACAATATCGTTATTTCCTAAAAAAAGAAATTAAAAAGTTAAGTTAACCAGTTCAATAAAAAATATGTGATATAAAATACACAGTATTGTACTTGTCCTATACAAATCTGTGATATAAAATACACAGTATTGTATTTGTCCTATACAAATCTGTGATATAAAATACACAGTATTGTATTTGTCCTATACAAATCTGGGCAATTATATTAAGGTGCTAATGAAAAAAAAAGGAAACAAATTGAATATCATGAGAATTTAAAATCTTTGAACTCAGTGAGTTTACTCATATTCTTTCAGAAACATTGCATTAAATACCCAACTACATATTAGCATAAAGCTTCTAAAGAATGTTATAAAAGATGTTATTAGACCTCCTTAATCAACACTTTTCTTTCACTGTAAAGACATTATTTAAATATGCTTTGAATGAATAGAGTTTTCATTGGTAAATGAACTAAATAACTACAGTGTTCATTGCTAAAATTTATGTCATATTCAAGGTAACAATTTCCTTATGAAAATTCTGACCTACTTCTCTTACCTCTCTAGATAAAAATATATTATTTGTTGTGTCAATATTGTTTTAAAAAGATATATTTAGTTATTTCAGTTACTTTTGACCCAACCATTTGCATTCATTAAATAAAATTTTAGTATTTACTCCCAAATTTGAATGTTTGTTTTTAAGTTTTTAAGTTTTGTTTTTAACAGTTATAGCATAATTTAGCATATTTTTAAGAAATTTCATTTTAAAAAGTTAACTAAATGAGAATATATAACAAATAAAGTTTAGTTTAAATTTTGTATAGCAGTTTTTTGTTTCATTACACACAGCTTGTTATATAGAAGTCACTTTAATAAAATGTCTAATAATAGGTATCAATAAAGTATTATTAAGAAGTGCATAGGTTTATACATTCCCTACAATAACATCGCCCACCACTACATTAGTGCAACTCTACTAAGTAATAACAACACTATATGACCACAACATTACTAAAAAACAACAACACCACTACATAATCACCATAAAACTAAAATCAAAATCAAACTTACCTACAACTAAAAAAATTGGTGTTAGGGGAAGAGCACTAGAGAGTTCAATTAGTGTTTTATTAGCAGACAAAAAAATACTTTGTTCAACATCAACTTGAAATTGATCATAATCATGAGCTGCTTGGTCACCTAAAAAAATTATAACTTACAAAAATGAAAAACTTTCTACACTCAGTGAGGGATACAGAGAGTAGGAATTAAAAGATTAAAATATTTTTTAAAACATTTTTTCAAAATAAAACATCAAAATTAATTTTGTCTTTTGACTAGGACATATATAGTTGTATACCCCCTAAGCTATAGAATAATGATAATGATAAACACATTTTCATTCATTTACACATTTTCAAAACATTCTTGATGTGTTATAGTTAACTTTCAGTGCTCAATTTAATAGTGGTTTGCAAAGAAGTAAATAAATAGCAAATTGAGTTTTTTTTTCTCCAAGACACCCTTTAAAAGATGACTTCAGCATCATTTAAAATTCCATTTTGGTATAAAACAAGGAGTTTTAGATAAAATTGATACTTATTTACTTTTTATAAATTTTTTTTTATTTGATTAATTTAGGTAAATTAATATAAATTTTAAATATCTCACCAGTTACTAGAACGAACTCAGCAGAATTTTTTATGTTGGTATTTATCTTTTGCATTTCATTAGCAGTAGATTTCAATAATTCTAAAGGTGTATCACACCCAGGTATTCCATATAAAGCTTTATATGTGGAAGAAATAGGGTAAATAGTATCATTTTTTATTTGTATGCTTCTGCAAGAAGTGTGTGTTGATATTGAATTATTATAGAATATATCTAAATGAATGTCACTTAGCCAAAAGAACATTATTGAATCAGCCATGTTTCTTTTAGAGCGAGATTGTATAACTTCACAAGACTTTGAATGTAACATCTTTAAAAGCAGTCCAACAGACAACACAATACACAAAAGAACTAAAGCTGCGATGATAATATATAATGAATAATTATTGTTTCTGTAGCACCGAATTTTTCGTTTTTTGCCAACAAGAATCATTTCATTCTAAAATAGTATTTCATACTTTATCACAAACATTTTAAATGAATTTTGAATGCTAAAAACTTCAATTGAATTTTCATCATTGTAAATTTTATTGTTTTTCATTATTATTATCTTTATCTTATTTTATCGTTTTATCGTGATTATTATTATCTTTATCTTATTTTATCGTAACAAATCTCAATGCTAAAAAAATCTTTTTTTTTCGTTTTTATTGTCAATATTACATTTCAATGTGAACAAAAAAAGTTTGAGCCTTTAAACCTTTTTTCTAAGATAACCATAAAACAAAAATATACAAAAAATATAAGAATAGAAAATAAAATAAACAAAAAAAAAACCCGGAGAGGATCAAGTGTAATGGATGATTTTTTAAATCAAGCTCACAATCCCCATTTCTTTTAGCTAATAGGGAATTCAATTCTTTGATTTCAGGGAATGATGGTAGCAGACCATTCTTAGGAGCATTACCATCAAAAAACCATTACTCAAGATGGAGAAGATAATGTGTTTACTTATTATATTTCAGTTATTTGCAAACTAAATCACTTTTTAATTATACAAAAAATTGATAATGTTTTGTAACACGTAGAGGAAGCAGGTAGTTAAAAATTTGTGATATCACAGCTGATTCTAGTTCTACAAACTTTAGATCTCTCAAATTATGACAAGCATAAATTTACCCCAATATCAATTTATCCCAGGTACAAAACTTTTTGAATTTTTTAATATTTGCCTAGATGCACCATAACAAAATGAACTCAATCCAGTTGAACAAAAAATTTGGCTCCACAAGAATGAACTGCTGCTGATGTAAAATAAAGTCAACTAATACTGCAGGTTTCAAAATATTCTGATATCGAATGTTATACCAAGCTGTAAGGAAACTATTTTCAAATTTTTAAAGAAAAGATTTTTTCAGCCACTAATTTCTTAAAGTTATTGCTTAGATATAGTGATGATCATTTTAATATTTAACAACTTTAATCATTTTATTTAACAATTTTAAATCAAATACTATTTTTTCAGCAAACATTATTTTTCAAATTTCAGTTATTGAATCTTATTGCTATAGATCACTTTTCTAATCTTATGCCTTATAAATTCATGCTCATAGTCATCATGCTCCATTAAATCTCTACATCATGCTCCATAAAATTTTTACATCATACTCCATAAAATCATACTCATAATCATTTGCTCCAAAAAATCTCTACATCATGTTTCAAAAAATCTCTACATTAAGCTCTAAAAATCTCTACATTATGCTTTATAAAATCTCTACATCGTGCTCCAAAAAATCTCTACATCATGCTTCATAAAGTCTCAGATCATACTCCATAAAATCATGCTCCATGATGATTATGAGCATAATGATTATGGGAAAAGGCAATGCAAAATGCAGACAATCAGATAAAAAACAACCACACAGGTAGAAAAATGTAATCAAATGTTAACAAAACAATAAGTTCTATAAAGTTTAATTCAGATAACAATAATGCCATACTACCACCAGTAAAAAAGGAGCACCAAAAAATTTTAAAGGAGTAAAAAATCTCTATATCATGCTCCAAAAAATCTCTATCTGTCTTTCACAGGAAGACGTGCGATTGCACGTCTTTATATGACCATGCAAAAAAGTTTTGACAATATGACTATGGCTTCTGACATATTTTCAAAATTCAAAAATGTGCTACAAAAACTTACATTTGTACTTTGTTATTTTTTATTTAGTATGTTACAAAAGATAAACACTTCTCATAAAAAATAAATAATTATATAAATGAAAAAAAACAACAGATTATTAATACTTATTTTAAAAATTCTTTAAAAGTGTTTTGTTACTTCATTGAAAAGCGTTTATATAATATAAAAGCATTAAAGGTCAAACTTATTTAATCGTAACAGCTTTCTAAAACAATTGCTGTTTTTTTTTCAACGAAAGTTTGTTTATCTTTTTAAATATATTAACTTTAACTATTCTTATATTAAAATTAGTTAGAGACTTTTGTTATCATAGAATTTTTTACTGTGCTACCTTTTAGTAGCTTACTTTTTTGGCTGTGGCCAAAAAAGTAAGTTACAAAAAGGTTTTTTAACAATTATTCAATAATGCATCTCTCGTGACAGTTAGTTGAATAGACCTTCCATGGTTTTAATTTAAAAAAAAACGTTCTTCTGAATTTTTTTGATCAGTACATGTTGACTTTGAGAAAAGATAGCCCTTTTTTCAGGGTTAGCAAAAACCCCAGAAAAAACTGTAACAGAAAAAAAAAAGTTAAATCTATATGTATTGATTTTTTTAAAATTTAAAAGTATTACTTTATATAACTAAAAATGTCAATGAAAAATGGAAAAAAAAAAGGCTAGAGAATGGGAGGTAGTAACTGAAGTTACTATTAAACTTATCTCCGCGCAGCGACCTTGTTTATAAAGACTCTTGGCCTTGTTTATAAGGTCTTGTTTATAAAGATAAAGTGTTTAGGAGTTAAAGAATTGAGAGAGGGTTGTAACCACAATAAGGTAGCCTCCTCGACTGTAGTGGGCTTCTCTGGCCACTACTACTTATTTAAATTCACTTTAGAAGGTGAATAACAAAAAATTAAAAAATCTTAATCAATAAAAATATTTAAATAAAAATTGTAATAATGTATTTTCAAATTTTGATTTGAATAGTAAACCTGCTCTGATAGCAACCATTGTTGGTTATAATAGTTAATAAAAATAGTTAATAATAATTTAGTTAATAATAATAATTAATAATTATTTTAGTTAATAATATTATAGTTATAATGTTAAAGTTGGTTACAATAGTTCATAAACTTATTAAATGTCTTTTAAAAAAACCCAATAAAACCCAGATTTTATTGGGTTTTTTAGGGCAGGTTTTTTAATGCCAACCCTGCAAATGGTCCATGTTTTTTTCTTTAAAAACAACTAAAACAAGAAGGCATGTACCTTTTACAGCACTCGAAAACATGAGTTAATAATTTTTAAAGCTCTGTAATAAGTTCAGGGTGTTTAGTCAATTTATAACTACTACATGATATTTGATGAGGGCTGGGGCCAGGGCCGAGTTTGATAAAATAAAGCCAGGGCTAGGTTAGTGACTGGGTCTTCCAGTTAAAAAAAAATTTATAAATCCTAAATTATAAATATATTTTTTTCAAAATTCATGTTATATTTTTTATATATATGCATATATAAGCATCATTATGATCAATATAATGATCATAATCATCAATACCATCATCATCATCATCATCATCATCATCATCATCATCATCATCATCATCATCATCATCATCATCATCATCATCATCATCATCATCATCATCATCATCATCAAGCTCCTTTGTACAATTTGTAAAGCACTCTCTTCAAATTTTTTTACTTCTATTGCTACCATTTACATACTGAAGCTGCTAACTCAGTACATGCTGATACCTAAATCACTTTAATCTTTTCTAACTAATGTTGTTCGATACAACACTTTTTTCTAATCTGTCTAAGATTATATCTCATTTTCTTGTCTTGCTCACACCACACACCTACCTAATCATTTTCTTATTCAGCAAATACTTCACCATATATATACTAAAGTTTATACAAATATGAAAGGATATTGTATGCCAGCATCTAAATAAATAGCAAACATATACCTTTATATTCCTAATATGTATGCATAAAGCACTCCACATTTTTCACCATCTTGAGCAGTTGCTTTGTTAAACATTAATCTATTTTTTCATCTTTTTTACAAAAACATCTCTCTTAAGAATAAACATTCTTTAATTATTCCAAGAAGCAAATGTAAAAAGGTTCTGTCTGATGTTAAGCTCTGTTACTCTCAGTTACTAAATCTTGTCTCAGATGTTAGGTTCTAAAGACTTTTGGTTAGTTTTCAACAGTGTCATTAACTAAAGTACTGAACATTAACATAAAGTCTAACATTTAATCTCTAATTCACGGGTCTGATCTTTTTACTTCTCCAGAATAAAGCAGAGTTATTTGAATCTAATGACCATATTCTTCCTGCCAGTTAAACAGATTAACTCTATTTACATTTTGACCTCTCCAACTATCCTATGATTAGTCTTCACTCTGTTATTAGTTTCATAATAAAAAGGTTTTGAGATTATTAAATTAATTTTTTTCTAACTGCAGTATTAAAGTTATTCTTGAAGCACTATTCACACACTTTTCATACACTTTTCTTTATTTATTTTTATGCAACTTTAACGGTACCACAAGGTTCTATCTTTGCTCTTGTATTGTTTCTTATATACAATAAAGATCTTCATAAAAATTTTACATCTAAAGTGGCTCTATTTGCTGACAATTCAACTTTATACTCTTGTCTTGAAAAAAAATCTTAACCTTTTGATTGCTTAGAACAAGCAGCTGATTTTTAATCTGATCTCTGTTCTCACTGCTTGATTTAAGGTTTTCAGGTTGAATTTCAAGGGATTTAAGGGTTTCAGGTTGAATTTCAAGGGATTTAAGGGTTTCAGGTTGAATTTCAAGGGATTTAAGGGTTTCAGGTTGAATTTCAAGGGATTTAAGGGTTTCAGGTTGAATTTCAAGGGATTTAAGGGTTTCAGGTTGAATTTCAAGGGATTTAAGGGTTTCAGGTTGAATTTCAAGGGATTTAAGGGTTTCAGGTTGAATTTCAAGGGATTTAAGGGTTTCAGGTTGAATTTCAAAAGACATGAGATTTTTATTCAAATTCTATTAATATGTATATGTACAAGCTGAAATGTGCTGAAAATCCTAAGCGCTCCTTTATAGTCCAAAATTGATTTTTTTTTGAAATCCAGAAAATAGTGTTTAAAAACTGTATCATTTTTATTATTCTCTTATTATAAATATCAAGGAAACCCACTTGACTATTCATAGTATTTCAAAATATGATTAATTTAATATATAATAATACCTTTGATAACATTATGGCTAATGCACTACTATAATTATTTTCCTGGGCCTGTTCTATACAGATTTTA